TTGGATGGATGGATGGATGGATGGATGGATGGATGGATGGATGGATGGATGGATGGATGAACGAGTAAATTAATTCATTCAGGAGAGGAATTTGTTATCTAACTTATTTCCACGGTCAACGTACCATCTTTTTCCTTGTGTGCAAACGTTCATGACTAGCAACAACAGAAAGAGAACTAGAAGAGACGATCTTGTACGCGTATAATTCCGTTAAAAATAAACCGTGTTTTTGTACCGGTTTTTCGGCTTGAGATCAGTACTTTTTTTTTCTTTCCGCCCCTTCGTTAATGTGTTTTTAGCCTCATATTTCTGTATCTTTATATTTTTATGAAGATTCAAGATCCAGTATTGTGATAATATGGGTAAACATTAATCCGACCCTATTCAGCTCTTCCTTATTTCAAAAAGGAAAGTCTCGTAAAGTTATCTATCAGGCGTGTGTGAGCCGGCGGAATCACAATGATAAAATTCAATCCTCAAAGTATCCTTAGTAGAAAGCTTTGTTTCCAATAAATTCATAAAATTGCTTTGATAGACGTTATTTATTGCATCTCCTTGTAGTAGGGGAGATGATTTAGTTTTGTTTTGAGGATTTCAACGCTTCTTAAAAATAGGTTAAATGTCAAGGCAGAATCTCACCTGTTTGAGATTCAGTGAGATTAGTGGCGATCATAATCGGTGTCTCTGACTGTAATGTTCCATGATACCTTTGTCAGTGATTATGATTATCAACGTTATGAATTCTCTTTGCACGCATCAATGGATTGGAACTAAACCGAAATCCGTGGTCAGTCCATGGTCATGTAATACCGTTTTATCGAAACACGTAGAAGTAAATAAGAATAGCTTCATTCGGGTATAAAGCACGTATAGTTTAAACGTGTGTAAGGGATTTAATAGACTACTTCTACGATACAGTGGTCACCTTGGATCGCAAAGCAATGTGGCGCGTCAAGGGGCTAAAGGAAACAAAGACCGCGTATAATATGCAGAGTTTCGTTTGTGTGTCTTTCTTCTATGGGTAAAGGTGAAAGATGCGACGTTTTGGGCTGTAATAATGGAGATATAGAGAACAAGATCCAAGATGGTCGCCGTATCTTGGAAGTACTCTATTTTCTGCGCAAGTGTTAATCTGATTGGTTGAAATGTAATGCGGAGCAATACTGTAATCTGATTGGTTGAAATGTATCATGGAGTAATACTGTAATCTGATTGGCTGAAATGTTATATGGAGTAATACTGTAATCTGATTGGTTGAAATGTAATATGGAATAATACTGTAACCTGATTGGTTGAAATGTAATGTGGAGTAATACTGTAATCTGATTGGTTGAAATGTAATATGGAATAATACTGTAACCTGATTGGTTGATGTGCAAAGTAGAGCGCATGTTGTGTGATGGGTAATCCGATGTAGACTTTAAGAATATATTATATAGAAGCTACCAGTATTTGAAGCACATTTTTCATTAAAAGCGTTTTAGATGTGATATGACTTTTTATTTATTAAACTACCAGAGAAATATTTCAAATAGTCAGCCCTTCCGGAGCCCTGGTCAAAAAGTGCGCAGCAGGCATTCGTTCTTAGTCTCTTAAACGTCGTTACTAATGAAAAGTCCTAGCTATATCCGCAAAAATGACTGGACGACAAGACTGTAGTCATGTGACCGGTAAGAGGTTGAAATGATATGTCGGATCAACTAACGACATAAGAGCCGACATTAGCCGGAATATGATCCAACTCGATAGCTGAGTATATTGTCTGTTAGTTCAATCTACTAACGTTATCTTACGAACAAGGTTTTTTTTTGTAACTTGGAGATCAATAAGCTGAGCACTAAGAAAATATTTCCTTTCCTAACGAAATTTTGTTCGACGAAAGCTTCTTAAAATTCGAGTCTCAACGAACTTAAGACAATAAAATACTTAATAGTTTTATATATTGCAAAGTAATCTTATTATACAAAAGGATTATAAAGCTATATTGCTAATGCTATTGCTTCACATAACCAAAAACCATACTAGACACTAGACTATATCATTATGGCTAACAGTCTTTTTGGCCGCTTAATCTGCTTAATATCTTATCTTTTTTCTGTCGGCCTCCCTGTAAAGCGGGGCTTTGAACAATTCATTTTTTTTAGAATACATCGAATACAGTAACGAGCTTTTCCAAACAATTTGAATGGAAATAGTGTTGCATTATTAGCGATAGCCAAACGTATCAGTGTTTTCTTCCATTTTCTAACTCACCTTTAAGAGGAAACTCTCTTTGAATGAAAACTGCACCTGACAAACGGATTAACACGAGCTGCGAGCAGTAACCGATTGACTTACAGTAACCGATTGACTTACAGTAACCGATTGACTTGCACATTAGATGCTTGATCGTGAAACTGACCAGCATACTAAATAAACGACACTTTTTGACGAATTGAAGATTTACCTCGGCTGTTCTCGAAAATCAATTGTTAAAAGAACAACGAATGGTAGATAGGAATGCACAGTAGGATATTGGTTATTCTATTGATTCTAATGCTTAATACCTTATTAAAAATCCCCAGGAAACYAAGCACGTTCAATCAATTGCGTTTTGTTGCAAGATTTTCTCTTTAAAACGGAACCAAACTTCTAAAGAAAAAGAATTTTTTTTTGGTCTTCATTCTTTTGTACTGTTTATTTATTAAAGCAGGGACACGTTCTTCGTGTTCTCGCCGTATGCAATAACGTTTGAATGCATCACCTGTTCCCAACCACAAAAGGTGTTCGCCCACACCACAATCTGTCATAATATTACCGCATATTAATATCAACGTGTTTATTTTACAGGCAACTTTTGACTTTATTACCTTAAGAACACACTGAACGATTTAAGATGATTAACCTAGAATCAAGAATGTCTTTGTATTTGATACAATCCAGAGTGCCCAGCAAGGTACCCAAGTGTTTATGTTTAACTTTGTTCAATAAGTACAACATTAGGTGGGAGAGAGAATCTCTTGTTTGTTTATCCCATTGCGGTGTCCGTTGTGGCTCCCAGATTTCTGAAAAGCTTCATAAATACACATACAACAAGTTTCTAAAAAAGAGACTCACTTTCCGGAAAGAAATTTCTCAGTGTAAARACTTTTCTCCGGCTTTTCATAATTACAGTAACTGTTTACTATTTACTGAAAAAGTTTCTTAATCACAATTAAATTCTTTTAAACCGAAATTTCATGCTGATCAGTAATCTAAAATGAAAGAAAAGAGAGAGAGAGAGAGAGAGAGAGAGAGAGAGAGAGA